ATAAGATAGATAGATAGATAGATAGATAGATAGATAGATAGATAGATAGATAGATAGATAGATAGATAGATAGATAGATAGATAGATAGATAGATAGATAGATAGATAGATAGATAGATAGATAGATAGATAGATAGATAGATAGATAGATAGATAGATAGATAGATAGATAGATAGATAGATAGATAGATAGATAGATAGATAGATAGATAGATAGATAGATAGATAGATAGATAGATAGATAGATAGATAGATAGATAGATAGATAGATAGATAGATAGATAGATAGATAGATAGATAGATAGATAGATAGATAGATAGATAGATAGATAGATAGATAGATAGATAGATAGATAGATAGATAGATAGATAGATAGATAGATAGATAGATAGATAGATAGATAGATAGATAGATAGATAGATAGATAGATAGATAGATAGATAGATAGATAGATAGATAGATAGATAGATAGATAGATAGATAGATAGATAGATAGATAGATAGATAGATAGATAGATGGATGGATGGATGGATATATGATAGATAGATAGATAGATAGATAGATAGATAGATAGAGAGATAGATAGATAGATAGATAGATAGATAGATAGATAGATAGATAGATAGATAGATAGATAGATAGATAGATAGATAGATAGATAGATAGATAGATAGATAGATAGATAGATAGATAGATAGATAGATAGATAGATAGATAGATAGATAGATAGATAGATAGATAGATAGATAGATAGATAGATAGATAGATAGATAGATAGTTAGTTATTTAGTTAGTTAGTGTAGTTAGTTAGTTAGTTAGTTAGTTAGTTAGTTAGTAGTTAGTTAGTTAGTTAGTTAGTAGTAGTTAGTTAGTTAGTTAGTTAGTTAGTAGTTAGTTAATTAGTTAGTAGTTAGTTAGTTAGTTAGTTAGTAGTTAGTTAGTTAGTTAGTTAGTAGTAGTTAGTTAGTTAGTTAGTTAGTTAGTACAGACTAGTGACTAGTCAAGACCATACAATAGGCTTCAGTCAATATTATAGACTAGAATATATTCAAGACTACAGATTTGATTATAGACACTACTGTAGACCAGACAATAATCAGGAATAAATAGTAAACTATATTCAGGACTATAGACTTGACAATAGTTAAGATTATAAACTAGACTACAGTCGAGACTGTAGTCTAGAGAGTTAAGACTGTAGACTAACCAATAGTCATGTTTATAGACTAGACTATAGTCAAGACAAAGAACTAAACTATAGTCAAGACTGTACAGTAGGCTATAGTCAACATTATATACAAGAATATATTCAAGACTACAGGTTAGATAATAGTCAAAATAGTTAGTTAGGTCAATGGTAGTTAGTTAGGTCAATGTTAGTTAGTTAGGTCAATGTCTGGTCTATAAGGCGAATGAGAATAAATTTCTCAAAGTTGCATTGGGTGCAATTTACAAGGATAACAATTAACTTTTCTTACGGTGCATGTGATCAAATATCCCATCGACTAATTCTTAGAGTACTTTTCTGAAAGAAAGTGTATTCAGAAAGTACCGCGGTTTATTTGCAGCCGATAGGGAGACTTCAAAATACATGTTAAAGTATTGGTCTCTGATTCTCTAATATTTTCAACGTCAATAAACAAAAGCAACATAAGTAAAATAAAATTTCTCTAATTTTTGTCACCAATAGCAAAACTCACCTATAAATCTTTTACCTACAAGATGGAAACAAATTTTAACATCTGTTCACAGCAATTACTTTGTGTAGGGTATTAAAAATATGTTAATTTACAAAATATATTCCCACAGAAAACAATTTTAAACCATGGATAATTTATGCAAAACAACATTTTCATTTTTATTTCGTTTTTATCTTTTTTTTTTCGTAAAAAAGATTATTTTAATTTATAAAAAAAAAACGAAAAAAATGTTAGTAAAAACTAAATGTAAGCACGAGGCCAAAAATTAAAATAAAAATTGGGCAAGCAACCAACCAACAACAACTATATATTTAAATATTAAAATCAGTTTTAATCACTAGACCGTAAAACATGGAGATTTTATTTTAAAAGATTTAAATCTCCTCACATCGACAAAAATGCCCCACAAATAAGGGAAGTTGGGGGTGGGGTTAACAAATAAGAAGTGTAAAGAGCTGGCGAATTAAATCATAAAATTAATTTTAATATTATTAAACGGAAAGAACAAAAATAACATTATGAAAAACTCGAGTGAGAAAGAAAGTGTTTAAATGAATTTAAATTGCAGCAAAAGTAAAAAAAATAAACATTTTTAAGGATAAAAAAAATCCAAACTAAATTTTAATGAAAAACTAGACAAAAAAAAACACAGAGAATAGAAATGAAAAGTGTAATTAAATTGAAAGCCTGCAAATGTTTGGTTTGTTTAATTTCAACCTAAAATGAGCTCAACAAAACCATTATCACTCCATCAACAAAATCATACACCAGCATCAACATCTCCCATAGAAGGTTGAGAAGTGTTAGAAGTTTTTGTAGAAAGAAAATTTTCAAAAAAAAAAAAATTAACATAATTAAAATATAAACTTTGCCTAGTTTTAACTATGTACATTCTAGCTTTGACCCGCAAATGAGGCTTCATTATATACAATTGAAATACTTTTGTATTTTTGGCAACAACAAAGAAAATAATAATAAACTTTTTACTAACAAATACCAAGTATTTAAACATTTCTTTGATATGTACTTGGCATTGTTAAAATTTTTAAATTAACGCTACGGACTGTACTAGACGCTAGTCAAGACTGCAGAGTCAAGACTGCACTAAAGTTAAGACTATGGACTAGGTAATACTTAAGACTTCAGACTGCACTAGAGCCAGGCCTATAGATTAGATAATATTCAATACTATGGACTAGTCAAGACTATATACTAGAAATACTATATAGTACATAGGACTATATTCAAGTCAATATGGTAGGTAACTACCCTACCTACCATATTCAAGTCAAGGCACTAGACTAGACAAGATACTTACAAGGCTATATACTATACATAAGAGCATATTCCAGACTATAGACCAGATTATAGTCAAGACCAAACACCAGTCTATAGGCTGTAGTCAATGATATGGATCAGACTATAGACCGGACGATTATCAAGACTAGACTATAATAAGAACTAAAGACTTTACTATAATCGGAACTATTGCCTAACTTCAGTCTAGAATATTATCAAGAGTTTAGACTAGAATATACTCAAGATAGTCAAGACTATACTAGATTATAGTCAAGACAGTAGGCCAGACAATAGTCAAGACTATAGGCTAGACAATTGTCAAGGTAATAGTCTAGACTATATATAGGATTATAGACTATATATATAGGATTATAGACTAAACTATATTCTATACTATAGAGCAGATAATAGTCAGACTATAGTCAACACTGTAGAAGTCACACCTATAGACTAGACAATAGTCAAGACTACAGACTAAACTATAGACTATGAACTAAACTATAGTCAATACTATATAGTAGGCTATAGCCAATATTATAGACTGAGTATATTCAAGACTATAGATTAGATAATATTCAAGATTGTAGACTTGACTGTAGTTAATAAAATAGTCAACACTATAGACTAGACTATATTCTAGACTAAAAACTAAGCAATAGTCAAGATTATAGACTAGACCATAGTCAAGACTAAGAACTATAGTCAATGCTATAAAGTAGGCTATAGTCAACATTATAGACAAGAATATATACTAGACTATAGTCAAGACAGTAAACCAGACTATAGTCAGGATTATAGAATAAAATATAGTTCAGTTTCTTTACTATAGAGTAGATAATAGTCAGACTACAGTCAATACTATTGACCAGACAATAATCAAGACTACAGACTAAACTATAGACAAGACTATACAGTAGAATATGCTCAATATTATAGAATAGACTATAGAGTACATAATAGTTAAGATTATAGACTAGACTATAGTCAAGACTATGGACAAAACTGTAGTGACGACTATACAGTCGGTTATATAATGTATTCAAGACTATAGAGTAGATAATAGTCAAGATTATAGACTCGAATTTAGTCAATAAAATAGTCAAGACTATAGACTAGACCATATTCAAGACAGTAGACTAGATAATAGTCAATATTATAGACTAGACTGTAGACCCGACAGTAATCAAAACTAAAGACTAGACTATATACAGGACTATAGACTTGACAATCATAAAGATTATAAACTAGAAAATTGTGGAGACTGTAGACCAGACAATAGTTAGGGCTATAGACTAGACTATATTCAATACTATAGATTAAATAATAGTCAAGATTATAGACTAGACTACAGTTAAAACTAAGAACTATAGTCAATACTATACAACAGGCTATAGTCAACATTATGGACAAGTATATATTCAAGACTATAGACTAGATAATAGTCAAGATTATAGTCTAAATTATAGCCATGACTATAGACTAAACTATAATCAAGACCGTAGACTAGACTATAGTCAAGACTAAGAACTATAGTAAATTCTATACAGTAGGCTATAGTCAACATTATAGACAAGAATATATTCAAGACTAAAGACAAGACAATAGTCAAGATTATAGACTAGACTGTAGCCAAGATTATAAACTAAACTATAGTCAAGACTGTAGACTAGACTATAGTCAGGTGTGTAGACTACACTGTAGTCAGGTCTGTAGACTATGCAATAGTTAAGACTAAGTTAATCTATAACTATAGAATATGGTCAAAAATATGGACTAGACAATGTTGAAGACCTTAGACTACAATATATAGAGAATAGTTTAGAAACTACTCGAATTTCCTAGAAAATGTCCGAGATACTTTTCATGATATTACAGATTTGTTTTTTTCTTTTTATTACTTTTTATTATCTACTTTGTGTAAATACAAAATTTAGTTTTTTTATTAAAATCCCTAATATTTGTTATAATTTAAACACAAAAGATTTTCGTTTAAGTAGATTTTATTAACAATCATTTTATAAAGCAAAATAATAAATGAAAATTAAAAAAAAATATATATATAATTTCTAAACTAAAAGTTTTATAAGCTTTAAAAAATCTGAGAATATAACAAAAATATTTCTTAAAGAATTTTATGAAATTTGAGAAATATATGTATATAAAATTTTTTAAATAAATTATATATGTAAATATTACAGTCATAAAGGTCCTTAATCCTTAATTAGCCATGTATGTATGTATCAAGAATACAATCCTTTAAACACCATATGAAACCACCATTAAAATTGTAGCTAATTGTTGGTAAAAGAAAGAAAGAGAAAAAAATTTAAATAATTAATAATTAATGACTAGAAAATGTGGCCTGAAATAGGAAAAAAATTGAATTTAAATTTAAATTAACCATTAAAAACATTTTAACCGTCATTAGCTGAAAATAAAATTAATATTAAATATAATTTTCTATTTTCCACGTTTAGCGTTTTTTTGAGTTTCAACCAGATTTCCTCCACAAATTAAATTTTAACTATGTATGCACGACTGAAAATTAAAATGAAATTAATATTATACCTGGAAATTTTAAATAAACTAGAAATGTTTAATAAATATTTAATTAAAATTTGTACTAATTTAATAACTGAAAATATGCACAAGAAAAAAAAAAAAGTGAACGTTTATTAGTAAATATGTGCGTAAATAAACAGCAGTTCAGTAAATTTCATTAAAACCTGTAAAATATTAAAAGGTTATGATAAAGAATTTAATTAAATAAGCTGCAAAAAAATGTGAAAATTTTTAAATTTATTAAAATAAGCTGTAAAGGAGAGAATAATTAGTAATTGGCTGAAAATAAAAGAAATTATTGAAATATTATCATGAAGAAAGACTTTGATGATGCAACAACGATGATGATGATGACGATAATAATGATTTTGCATTGTCATACACTTTAAAACTGCTCTCTACTAATTAGTGTATGTATGTAGCTGCTATCATTCACCCAAGGACCAAACCAAACCAATCCATTTACAAAAATCCAACTATAAACTGCAACAACCTGCAAGTAAAATGAAAAAGAAAAAAAAACACATTCCCGGAAAGGAAAGAAAAATCGCTTCTTTTCACACACACAGTCAAAAGAAAACGAAAATTAATGAAAATTTAATATTATGAAAGAGGGAGAGATAGATACATATATATAGGAGGATAGAGCATATAGAGTGAAGTGATGAAAGGAAATTGAGGAAAAACTGTTATTTAAAAATTAACAAGAAGTAAAACATAAAACAGTGGCAGTTTAGCAAACAGTTATTTAAAGGTATACATTCCTAAATAAATTTTAAATTAAAATTATATTTCCTCATTACGCTATAGACTTGTTAGATTCAGTACTTTTTAATGCCGAAAAATACCGTACCTTTACGACATTTTTGGTACTTCTTCTAACTTATAAACTTTTGATAATTATTTCACGTAATAGTCAATTTATAGACTAGTATATAGTCTAGCCTAGCCTATAGTTTAGTCTATAGTCTACTCTATAGTCTAGTCTATAGTCTAGTCTATAGTCTAGTCTATAGTCTAGTCTATAGTCTAGTCTATAGTCTAGTCTATAGTCTAGTCTATAGTCTAGTCTATAGTCTAGTCTATAGTCTAGTCTATAGTCTAGTCTATAGTCTAGTCTATAGTCTAGTCTATAGTCTAGTCTATAGTCTAGTCTATAGTCTAGTCTATAGTCTAGTCTATAGTCTAGTCTATAGTCTAGTCTATAGTCTAGTCTATAGTCTAGTCTATTGTGTAGTCTATAGTCTAGTCTATAGTCTAGTCTATAGTCTAGTCTATAGTCTACTCTATAGTCTAGTCTATAGTCTAGTCTATAGTCTACTCTATAGTCTAGTCTATAGTCTAGTCTATAGTCTAGTCTATAGTCTAGTCTATAGTTTAGTCTATAGTTTAGTCTATAGTCTAGTCTATAGTCTAGTCTATAGTTTAGTCTATAGTTTAGTCTATAGTCTAGTCTATAGTCTAGTCTATAGTCTAGTCTATAGTCTAGTCTATAGCCTAGTCTATAGTCTAGTCTATAGTGTAGTCTATAGTCTAGTCTATAGTCTAGTCTATAATCTAGTCTATAGTCTTGTCTATAGTCTAGTCTATAGTCTAGTCTATAGTCTAGTCTATAGTCTAGTCTATAGTCTAGTTTATAGTCTAGTCTATAGTCTAGTCTATAGTCTAGTCTATAGTCTAGTCTATAGTCTAGTCTATAGTCTAGTCTATAGTCTAGTCTATAGTTAAATTATTTAAATTCCTTGAGAACTGGTTCCCTACTCACTCCATTGCTATAGGGGATAATATTCATATCTTTTTAAGTAATCATGAGGTTTCGGTTAAAGTCCACTATCTCCATTTTGTCTCATAATGAATTCATTCCAAAAATGTTTAATTTTTGGTACATTTCAACCAACATAGTTGAATGAATTTGGTTGGCATTTCTTTCAGTTTGTTGCTGTTGGTGTAGTTTTCCTCAAAAAAGCAGAAAAAATAACAACTGAACTCAACAAGATGATGATGATGATGACCATGGTACATGCTTAATAGAGGGTCAAGTTAGTGGGTGTTGGGTACAAAAGTTTGTGTGAAGTTTGCTACTTCACTACATATTCCATTCGGATCATGATATAAGAGTATGAATATGACTTCAACAACAATAAAGTAAAAGAAACCAACAATATCTGTGAAGTACATACGCATCCATACATACTACATCGTTATGATACTGGGCCTGGTTGTTTTTTTTTTTTCTTCGTAAGGCCAAAAACAAACTTTTTTCACGCACAATTTCCACTGCAAAAATAGGTGCAAATGGATTTGAGAATTGGGTTAATTGTTGCTTAAAGGTGGTTTATGTAAAGTAGACTCATATATACACATAATTGTATGTGTAAACTTACACTAACAAACAGTTCCTAGAAGTTTTATAAAAGATCAAGGTATCCTTTTGACAGTATTTTACTCACACTTCTTATTTAACTAAAATTTGTATACATTTTAGCATCATTTGCCACAAGTCTTGAAAGTCATTTTAATATCCTCGAGTTTTTAAATGGGAAAACAGTGTTCGCTTGTAACATAAATTCCGGAAAATTTCACCTCCAACTGCAGGGTTCACAGCTGAGTACTACAGTACACACAACAAATAAAATAGTATTAAGACCAAACAAAAAAAGGCGTTGAAAGGAAGGAAGTTTATAAACAAACACATACTACATACACACACACACACACAAATTCACCTACACATTTTGTTTAAACAACAAGTATAAACATTAATACATATACACACACTCAACTCAACTGAAAAAACCAACACTCTCTCAAACATTTATACCAACCACCAGAAAAGTTAAGTGCAAAATGTAGACATGGTAAATGTTCACTTTTTTAATACTTCTAGCCAGGTTCTTTCCATTTTTTTTTGTTTGCTGTAAAAGCTTTAAAAACTCGGCAAAAAAAATCACATGAACTAGGAAAGGAAAGTTAAGTTAAGGGAAAAAATCTATAACTGGGGGTTTTTAGGAAAAAAGAAAAATATTAGTATAACAGTATAAAAAATTGTTGCTTGATTTTCTATACTCTATATGTTTATAAGGACGGTGAACAGTTAATGTGTTAATATCCGGTCAAAAAATATGGATATTTTGGTTGTTGTTCTACTTATATACACTTAGTAATGAAACCTGGAGTAAATCAATTAATATGCCTCTAGTTCGTTAATATGTGTGTTCAGCTAAAGACTTTCAAAATCCTTCATACCTGGCAGTTACACGATCAAGTTTGGACAATTTTGTTTTTTATTGCTTCAAATTTACTACCAAGAAATCAGCTGATTATTCATATTGCCCAGACTTGAGTGAATAAAGTTAATAACATGATGACATCTTGGAAAGTAATATCCCTGTAACCTACGACATGAAAGTAATTTGAAATGAATTTTGAAAAGGTATTAAGTACAACTCGAAAACTTTTTTAATCAAAATAATTCAGAAATGTGTTAGTGTATCTATGTATTAGGATATCTATCTATCTAACTATCTATCTATCTATCTATCTATCTATCTATCTATCTATCTATCTATCTATCTATCTATCTATCTATCTATCCATCTATCTATCTATCTATCTATCTATCTATCTATCTATCTATCTATCTATCTATCTATCTATCTATCTATCTATCTATCTATCTATCTATCTATCTATCTATCTATCTATCTATCTATCTATCTATCTATCTATCTATCTATCTATCTATCTATCTATCTATCTATCTATCTATCTATCTATCTATCTATCTATCTATCTATCTATCTATCTATCTATCTATCTATCTATCTATCTATCTATCTATCTATCTATCTATCTATCTATCTATCTATCTATCTATCTATCTATCTATCTATCTATCTATCTATCTATCTATCTATCTATCTATCTATCTATCTATCTATCTATCTATCTATCTATCTATCTATCTATCTATCTATCTATCTATCTATCTATCTATCTATCTATCTATCTATCTATCTATCTATCTATCTATCTATCTATCTATCTATCTATCTATCTATCTATCTATCTATCTATCTATCTATCTATCTATCTATCTATCTATCTATCTATCTATCTATCTATCTATCTATCTATCTATCTATCTATCTATCTATCTATCTATCTATCTATCTATCTATCTATCTATCTATCTATCTATCTATCTATCTATCTATCTATCTATCTATCTATCTATCTATCTATCTTATCTATCTATCTATCTATCTACTATCTATCTATCTATCTATCTATCTATCTATCTATCTATCTATCTATCTATCTATCTATCTATCTATCTATCTATCTATCTATCTATCTATCTATCTATCTATCTATCTATCTATCTATCTATCTATCTATCTATCTATCTATCTATCTATCTATCTATCTATCTATCTATCTATCTATCTATCTATCTATCTATCTATCTATCTATCTATCTATCTATCTATCTATCTATCTATCTATCTATCTATCTATCTATCTATCTATCTATCTATCTATCTATCTATCTATCTATCTATCTATCTATCTATCTATCTATCTATCTATCTATCTATCTATCTATCTATCTATCTATCTATCTATCTATCTATCTATCTATCTATCTATCTATCTATCTATCTATCTATCTATCTATCTATTCTATCTATCTATCTATCTATCTATCTATCTATCTATCTATCTATCTATCTATCTATCTATCTATCTATCTATCTATCTATCTATCTATCTATCTATCTATCTATCTATCTATCTATCTATCTATCTATCTATCTATCTATCTATCTACTCTATCATCTATCTATCTATCTATCTTCTATCTATCTATCTAATCTATCTACCTATCTATCTATCTATCTATCTATCTATCTATCTATCTATCTATCTATCTATCTATCTATCTATCTATCTATCTATCTATCTAATCTATCTATCTATCTATCTACTATCTTCTATCTATCTATCTATCTATCTATCTATCTATTATCTATCTAGCTATCTATCTATCTATCTATCTATCTATCTATCTATCTATCTATCTATCTATCTATCTATCTATCTATCTATCTATCTAATCTATCTATCTATCTATCTATCTATCTATCTATCTATCTATCTATCTATCTATCTATCTATCTATCTATCTATCTATCTATCTATCTATCTATCTATCTAGCTATCTATCTATCTATCTATCTACTATCTATCTATCTATCATCTATCTATCTATCTATCTATCTATCTTCTTATCTATCTATCTATCTATCTATCTATCTATCTATCTATCTATCTATCTATCTATCTATCTATCTATCTAGCTATCTATCTATCTATCTATCTATCTATCTATCTATCTATCTATCTATCTATCTATCTATCTATCTATCTATCTATCTATCTACTATCTATCTAATTATCTATCTATCTATCTATCTATCTATCTATCTA